TTCATACGTTCCATTGAAACATTGGTAAAAGCTATTGAAAAAATCGCTAGGATTTATCATGATTTTGTAACGATTTTTTTGAAAAGATACAACCCGTAGTCCAACGAACGACTGTTATTGTAAAAAAATGCATCCGGATTAAGATCTAGTAAAATGCTAAATCCTTTTTCTCAATAGCATAATCTAAATCGTCACAAAAGCTTCCCCAAAATTGTTCCCAAATATCCAATGGTAAATATAAGCAGTTGAATAAAAGAACTGAAACAAACATTGACCGAAGGGAAGTTACGGATGCAAAGGAGCCAGTTTTTTCGAAACATTTCTTCCATTTCTCATCGTCTTCAATCAAACGGAATAACATGCAAGCTTCTCTAAACGTGCCACATTCAGCATTATTAACGGTACTTAAGCCTACAAATGAGGTAGCTCACTTGATGTCATTAAGCAACAATCTCAATCAATAACGCTCGCCTGCAGAAGGGTTGCAGTTGTACATTCTACCAATAGCGAAACGACTGGTTTTTCGTGCCTTCCTGACTTCGGCTGATTTATACCAGACAAAACATTCAGGAAATTGCTGATAATGGAAGGGAATAAAATCGTCTTTGTGCTGATTGTCCAAAATCCACCTAGAAAGTCCCATGAGAGTTGACCCAGTACTTTCAAGGGTTTCATTAATTTTATCTTGCTTCCAGAGAGGATCAGAATAAAGCGGCTGTTCTCCAGGTAAGTGAACAGCCAACTGGGTGACAGATGGTGGCTCTTCATACATACGAAATTCGAATATTCTCCATGCTGCTTCAACAGGGTTGATATACGGACCATTGAAGTATTTCTGGAAAGGGCTTTTGCAACACTTGGTGGTATGTCCACTACCACGACACGAGAAGCATTTGGTTTTCGCCAAATCCGGGCATTTGGATCGTGCGTGTCCAGCCAAACGACACCAGTGACAAACCGTGGGTCCACCTTTAAATGTTGCCGAAGCAAAACAGTCCCATTCCTCCAAGTACAAATTATTTGTGAGTGGCTCATTCTTGACCATGTCACCAGAAGCACCAATATAGCCAGCCGAGATATCAAGGATAACCGACAGCTCACCTTCAAAGTACCCACCGCAAGTGTACTCTTTCACCTGGTACACTTCACCGTAAAAACGCAGAGATCTTTTAAGATCCGCCAGAAACGTATCCTTGTCCGGAATTCGCAAAAGAGTCATCTTGACATGCACAAGTGTATTGTTGCCACTAGGAACAGAAGGAGAGCCTTTAAACAACAAGTTCTTGTAACTAACACAGTGAGTGATTGACTTTGTAGTGCTTCTTGTCATTGCAAACTTAACTTAAACCATAAATTCACCAGCAGAGCGAGTACCATAATTGCTAATAGGACGAAATCCCTGGATAGAACCACATTGAGCTTCAATGAGTTCATAAGCTTCTGTACAATGCTTGAAAATGGAAGCGGGGAACGAAAACAAAACAGAACCAGGTGTCAGTGCTTGCTTGACAATAGAAGCAGCTTGACATACCATAATTTGGTAATCAAGTTCAGGATGATGGAAAAGGGTGTTACTTTTCAACTTGAATTGAGAATCAGTCTCGGGAGAGACAGGAAGAGGACGCAAGACTTTTTTGGAGGCACCGCGAGAAGCCACAGTAGACCAGGAAACATGATCTTGATTTGACATTGTTAAATGATCCAGAGGGAAAATTAAGAATGTCGATTTTAAATATGCAAATACAAGAGAGTGTTTTCAGAAATGTCTAAAATGTCGAAATTGAAGGCGAGATCGAAGACATTGGTGAAAGCGTAGTAATTGAAAAAGATAGAGCCGATTGAGACGCGTCGAATAGAATCAAAATTTGAACGGATTGAACGACTTTTGATGACGAATGGATGGGACAAAGATTTGGATGCAAATACCATGTGTAAAAATTCTTTAAGCGAACGAAAGAAAGCCTTCTTTAGCCCTACAGCCTATACAATCTTGAAGTATTTTGTAAAAATTCTTTAAGCACCCAGCACATGCGAAGGAAGATTTTTTTTTTTTGTATTAACTGTAAGTTCATTAAATATATAAAGAAATTATAAGATTAGCCAGAAGGCGTCACTAGACTATCACTACGAACTAGAGGGGATTGAGTCTCTGAAGTATTGAGTGATCTTGTTGAAACATGTTAAGAGCAGCTTGTGCGTTCCACAGATCACCATCATTCACACAACGCCAATGGTATTTCCAAAGTGTAGCTAGTGTTGTGTTTTAAAATAGGGTTTAATTTATAAAAAGACTATAGAAGTAGTTTGAGACTGTTTATAAGATTGTCCTTTATTAATAAATGAAATATACGAGTATTTATATAAAGACTGTTTGCTGTGTTTATATCTCTAGTGCTATCTTGAAGTTATCATTGATTAACCAAAAATGTATATGATAATTACATAGTCACTAATTTAGTCTTCTTCTAATAAATGTTAAGTCCTCTTAACATCTTTGCTTTAAACTAAATTTTAAGTATTTTTCAGACGTACTAAATCAGACTTGTGATGTAATATTCTTATAGTTCTTACTATGACATTTATTGTTAAGCTTATATCACAAATAGTATCAGCATGGATAAACCTTTGTTAGCTCTAATATGGCTATAGTCTTGCTAGGTCACCACAGCTAGTCCAGAACCAAGGATAACAAGCATAACCGACGATAGAGGCTTTTGGTTTTGACCGCAGAGAGATACAAAGCCGGACCAAATATCAAATTCAGTTTCGAATGTGCCACTAATGTTAAGAAGAGAGATTACGTTACACCAGTACTGCCATTTATCGAAACGTCCCACCACAAAATGGAACAAGTCGTCGGAAGAGGAGACTAGACAAATAGGGCAGCTGTCAGGAGCGGACAGGCGGACAGGACAGACAGAAGAATACTTGCTTACAAGAACAAAGAAATAAAAGATAATTATTATATTTATTAAAAGAGAGAGAGAGAGAGAAAGAAGAAAAGAGGAGATAGGGTTGTTAGATAATATTTCTGATGAAGGTGAAGAAAAAGAGGGAAATTTAGGCTATATTTATAGTAAAGGACTGTACAGATATTTAGCATAAAAATAAGCAATGACAAAGTTTAGTAAGTCATTACTTATTTATGACACATATTCGATGATTGATGGCTGACACGTAGATGGCAAGGTGCTGACAAAGAATTACCAAAATTAATGCATCTACGTGCCACGATCATGACATATCCTGCCCAAACATTTGCCTTTCTCATCATGCTAATAAAGCCATTCAGTTAATTCTTGACAAAGTAATGAATATTTCTACATACATAACATTAAATACTACATACAATTACAAGTATTTCTTCATGACAATTGCACCGTCTTTAGTACAGAGTTCAGGCTTGGATACAAAAGCATCATACTCTACTTTTGCATTTTTAAATTCATCCAAAGTAGAGCAAATAAATGCCATTTTTTGAACAATCGTCAAAAAACTACGAACTTCAAGTTGAATTCCGGGATCTATGTTAATTGTAATTCGAGTAAGCTAAGAAGATGAAAATAGTTTGTCTTTATAGTAGCTTACTGTCGGTCTTCACTTTCGAGTTTAAGTTCTTTTTAAACCGAAGAAGAAAATTGGGCTGGATGTGAATCCAAGAAACAATTTGCTTACTGTTAGGAATAACAGTTTTGATAGCCTTCAATAAAGCTTCTTCATTATCGGTGACGAACCATTTCGGCAACAAATTTTCAGCTGTACCAGCAGGCCATACAATATCTCAAAAACATTGAAGAGACCACTGATATCTCTCGGCTGTTTCCTTGTCCATCCAGCAGCCGGCAATGGGAACGGTGGTCAGCTGCTTTGGTCTTTCTGGAGAGCGCAAAAGCTCCAGCAACAACAAAATTCAATAACTATCTTGTGTGAATTGGTCTTTTATGTGGCGTCGATTATAACACAATCAGATAATTTACGCGCTTCCTCAATCCCATGTTGATGAATGAAGAAAATAGATTGGATTCTATTATCTTCGTTAGTTAAATATCTAACATCGTGGTTTGTTGTTTCGAGGTGTCTTGTAAAATTCCAAATGAAAATGCTATCATCTCTACAGAACCGTTGTTGGATATTCGTAAGATCAATCACATTAACGTTGCAAACGTCTCTTGTTTTTAACATCTACAAACAAAAAGATCTATTTTAAGAAATAATATTTATTGCTAGTGTCGTTTGAGAATGTTTTTAAAGTATTCGTATAATATGTCTTTATTCAAAAAAAAATAGATCACAAATAATGCTAACTCCTATCCACATCTTACTTTTACTTTCAACTTCCTTACCTCCAAAACTGCACTGGGAGTACTTCCGCTTTGCATCATCTTGATTGCAAATTCTTGTTCATCTGCTTCCAATTTCTTCTTAACATGATACATTTGGCGGTTGTTGTTAACTGGGGGCGTGTGGTCAAAACAAGCCTTGTTTATATTTCAGCGATTGTTCACGTCTTTGGTATCCAACTTGACGTGAATAAAAGCAGTGCATCCAACCTTAACAGTCTTACGATTAGGCCTTTTCAAGACACCCTCCCCATCATTATTGTCTTCTATTTCAATTTTTTAATCAAACTAGATCGGCCATTCACTCAATGCATACGTACTTTCTTCGCCTCTGGTGTTACGGTATTCTCCAAAATGCTTTCATACCAGTTCCATGTAAAGTTTATCACTTCTGAGTGTCTCAAAGGGCATATTCTGAGACTTACAAAATCTTGCATCTCGTATTTGGCCGACTGCTTGTCAGCGAAATTTTTGCTTCCAGGAAACTCCTTTCCAAAAGCCTCCTTCATACTTACGACAGCTTCGCTACTACCAACAGTCTGCTCAAAGGATGGTACCGGAAAGTCAGTCAAATAATTTTCCTCGTGATCTTCTGCTGCATTCTCTGCGACACTGATGGAGTCCCAGTAGGGGGTGCCAAACATTAAAAAAATCATTTCCTTAATTCTTAAAAAACATTCCCAGGAATTTTTTCCCAGCCAAATTCCCTAAACTTTGCGGGAACGATTTTTTGTGCCCGAGATTTTGCGGGCAAGAAAAAGTATTCTTGAGAAATCTCGGGAAAGAATACTCATTTTCTATTCGTTGTTGAGAAGGAAGTATGACGTAAAAATGTAACATTTTATTTATTTTATGATAATCTAAAAGCATCAAATCGCATCTGTGTTTGCATTATAAAGTTTTTCTAAGTTTTTAACTTACCTTTTTTCTCCTTAACTTTCTCTAAAACGTATAATCTAAAATGTCTGATCAAATAAGCAGAAACACTGGTGGCGGTCCTTCCAACAACGATTCCGCAGATAAAAGCCTTGATAGAACCAAAACTACACCTGGTCAAATTAGGGCTATGATTGGTGTCTTTGAGAGTGACCAAGACCTTTTTAAGATATATCTTGGTGGACAAAAGTCGTCCGCTCCTTCAGCTGGTAGTCAGATAAAAAAAAGAGAGATCATTGAGAGATTGTTTCAGCAACTTCTGGCAGATAGAGTAATTCCGTCTTCCTGGAATTTCAAATCGGTTGGAAAACGTTTTGAACGCCAACCCGCAAAGTATCGCAATATACAAAGAGATATGAGCTCTACCGGTTTTGGCTTGACTACAGATAGCATTAAACGTGGACTGATCTCCATCGAGATCAAGTGTAAACATTTGTGTATTCGATTTTCTCGTTTGGCTGCTCTGCATGGTGTTAGACCAAACATAACTCCTTATTGTGTGGCTTTCCATGGAGCCCCTGGTGGTACCGAGTATACATACTCCAACAGAGTAAGGCCATCATTAGCTGCAATTGAGGCACAAAATTTTGCAGTTTTTGGTGGTCAACAAGAGGCGATTGAAGAGGTCAGTCGATTGTTGGTTGGAATTGATGCGGCTGAATCTTCAACAAGATCATCTGCTTCTCTTTCCTCTGGTGCTCCTTTGGCGGCTGATAATCCTTTGGCTGCTGATGTTCCTTTGGCTGCTGGTGCTGCTTTGGCTGCTCGTTCTCCGTTGGCTGCTGGTGCTTCTCTTTTCTCTGGTGCTCCTTTGGCTGCTAGGTCTTTGTCTGCTGCACCTGTGTCTACTGAGCGTTCTTCCTCGTTCCGTTTTTCTTCTGTTGGGCCATTCTCAAACGAAACTCTCTCTTTCCCTCGTCCTGCTTTAGGTGAAGCTTCGTCTGACCAGCCTCATCTGTAGAAGTACCAGCTACCAATGTTGCTTCTTCTCCTCTATCGGTTCCATCTAATACCCCGCCATCAAGTCGCAAACCATTATTTGAATCATCATTAGAGAATGGTTTGTTGGATTTCTTTTTTTTTAATGATGCTGGGTCGTATCATGCTGTGGACCATGACAGCGATGTCAACAGTGGTAGTGCTGCTCGTGCTGGTGGTGGTGTTAGTGCTGGTGTTGCTGGTGGTGTTGCTGGTATTGCTGGTGTTGCTGGTGGTGTTGCTGGTGGTGTTGCTGGTGGTGTTGCTGGTGGTGCTGCTGGTGGTGCTCGTGTTGCTGGTGGTGCTAGTGCTGGTACTGGTGCTGGTACTGGTGCTGGTGGTGCTCCTGTTGCTGGTGTTCGTAGCGGTGCTGGTGTTGGTGTTGGTGTTGGTGTTGGTGTTGGTGTTGGTGTTGGTGTTGGTATTGGTGTTGGTGGTCGTGCACGTGCTCGTGGTCGTGGTCGTGGAGGTGTTAGTCGCGCTGGTACCGTTCAGCCTGAAATGCCAACGGCTGATCGCATCCGTGTTGATCCCGATCACGCCATGAGAAACAAGAGGATCAAAAAAGACTTTTCTTCTGAGTATCGCGAGGCTCAGTTGAGAAGGGACGAAGTATTGAGCGAAAATAGTCAGAGGGAGTTCGATTTGGGTATGTCCCAATTGCTTGTTACTTGTCTGACAACGAACGCCTTCAATACATCGTCATTTACGGAAATTACCAGACATCTGGCTGATTTTCGTAGATCTCTGAGGGATCTTGTCGATGATGTTGATGTATATGATGATACAGAGTATCTTTACAATCTTGATAGTGATGAAGATGAGCACGACGACGGTAATCCTTCAACAGATGTAAATTAATATTTTTTTCTTTTTAAATAAAGTTTTTTTTTCCTCTTACAAACATATTTACATTCATTGTTCAGAAACCTTCACAGCAATGACGCAATCCAATCCTTTCAACACAAATGCCCATTATATCAACTCAGTTGGTTTATTCATTATCATATCCGAAATGTACTGCATAATCTGCTAAAACTACTTTAGCAACGGAATCCCTCCAAGTATTCAATATACGGCTGGAAACACTGTTGACGTTGTCAAATGACTCCAGCAACACCACGTCTAATCTCGACTGCCCGACGTCAACATCCTCATAAAAATCACCGTCAAAATTGTCATTTTCCAAGATCAAATAGTTGTGCAAAAGACCGCATACATGTACCAATTCATGTATTCTCATGATATCCTCCTCACAATTGATCTGAATCGGAATGTTCTTCAAGATTGTCTATTTGCCCTTTAATACACCAATGGTATTTTCAACAGCAACTCGGGCGGAAGAGTGAACCTTGTTGAAGTCTTCGCATTTCACCGAACTTGCAACCTGGGGTCTTCTGTAAGGAGTAAGCACAAATAGATGTAGAGCATATCCGGAATCACCGAGAAGGTACTCATGGCTTGCAGCATCGCCACATGTAAAATACTTGGCTTCTCTATTAATCATGAAGCTAGCATGCTCTACACATGTGGCATCACACATCGACCCGGCTTGTCCTGATTGGAACCCCAAAATGATCTTTCGTTCATCACAAACAACCTGACAGTTCACAGAATAGAACCCCTTTCTATTGTAATAGGATTCGGGGCAGTCGGTAGGTTTTTGAGAAAGGCGAAAATGGGTGCCATCGATGTATCGAATACAATTACAAAAAAAGTATTGTTTTTGATGGCTGCAGCTGCTCTTTCTCTTTGTTCCTTGTTAAGCCAGCTCATCAAGTGTTTAAGGTTGTCGGTGATTGCCTTAAAACAGCGGTTGGTGTAATCAGTGACAGAGTCTTTGCTGATTCCAAACAAAGTTGCAATCTGCTCAATGCTGTTACCAGTTCCATCGTGACTTAATCGTCTTAAGGTTACTGCAACTTGAACGTGAACATCCCTTTGAGAAATGAAACTGTGATTGTTGAAGACTGCGTGACCTTCAATCAAGCGAAGGAGCTTTAAGAACGAGTCCTTATTCATTCTACAAATCTTAACAAACTCTTCGTCATTCCACTCGAGGAAATACTCGCGATACTGGTCCAGTTTAGGAATGCCAGGTCCACTGTTGAGAACACGTTTCGTTTCTAATCCACTCAAGAGTTCGTGCATCTCTTCCGCTTCTTCTTCATTTTCAATAATAACATTGTGTTTAAGCAAAGACTTCATCTCGTTCAAAGTCTGTTGTCTAGTAGATTGTTTGGGCATTTTAAATGTTAAAAATAAAAGATAATATTTATAAAAAATGGTTTAAAGTAAAAAGGGGAAGCTAGAGCTGTATTTGGCTTATGACGAGTTTTCCCAGCCTAAAAAGATTCCCGGAACTTCGAAATAAAATTCCCGCGATTTTTGAAAAATTTAATGTTTGGCACCCCCTAGTCAAACTCGTTTCAGATAGCGTTTTTGCCGGGATTTTTGTGTTTTACGTTTTCATTTTCTAATGTTTGCTCGAAGCCATCGTTAATTTCAACATCATTACTGAACTCGGAAAGAAGTGCTTGAATTAGCAAGTCCTTGTCGCTGATGTCTTGTTCAGTCATTTTTTTTATAGTGAGATTTTCTTAAGAAGTAAAAAACGGTGTCCGTAAAAAAAAACTGTGTCGACGAAATTATTTTATAGTGCCAAAAAAAAAAAAAAATCCGGGCCGTACAGAAAAACGGTGTCCCTCAATATTTTTTACACCAAAAAAAACGGTGTCCGCATAGTTACGCATAAAAAAAGGTTGGTTGTAGAAATAGGTTTGGAGTGGAGCATATTGGTTACCACGATCGATGGCTTACTCAAACTACAAATAAGGTTAAGATGTAATTAGGCCACAGGTTTAAAGGAACCTACCATAATTCTGATGGGACCACTCTGTCATTCAAGAATAGATATGAGACATTTGGCGTGTGTCAAATACCCTTATATTTGGCAAACACGTACATAATTGAGCCAGGTACCAGCATAAACAGTCAGAATGTGTCTACTCGCCTTGCTGAACAGGTAGCTGGTTTACCCTGCGTAAAAGTAAACAAGACAGAGCAATCTGCATGTGAATACCTTGCGTTACTGCAAATCGTTGCGCTTGCTGTTGTACGTGTGCACACCATGGAAGAAAAAAAACATTTAAAACGATTTTAGAAAGAAACCCTCTGTATTGTTGCAGCCAATAATAATGTGGCTTGTTGTTACACAGGATAGGATCTTTCCTATAAATACGCTTCCTTTTTTTTCATTCTTAATAAAAATTCTTTAGTTTTGTCTTCACCTAAATTTGGGATTTATCTTGTAATTGATACCAGTAGTATTTCCTCCGCTTTTTGTTGCTGTTTTTGTCTATTGTAAATTATACAATCACATCATCTTCTTACATAAACCCGTCGTAAACTCTTTTATCTTCGACATCTAAGAACTATATTCTCTTCTCATCTCTCACTGTATTATTATCGATTTGCATTTTATTGTCTTATCCATATATTTTATCGTCTAAGATCACTACAGAAATACTCTTAATAAATAATAAAACTAAGTTGACAACTAAAAGTCTGGTCCTCACTATCACAATTCTGATATAATAATAATTGTCCCTTTTTAAATCTAAATCCGTACTAGCGCTATATCAGTATAACGAAAAAAAGCCAAACTGGGGGGATTTCTAATCATTTCGTCAGATTTCTGTAACAGCCAAGAAAACAACAATACGGGTAAAAACTTGTTTTATAAAACGCCGTATCATCTCAAATCATACTATGGTCGATATATTGAATACAAAACCGAACGCGTATCTATCGAAGTTACCAACGCAACCTCCATGGAAATTGTTGAAAATGCTATCATACCTTCTAATCGACCTCAAGTTCAGCATCTTGAGCCAACCAACCTTTTGCTCTTTTCAAATACATACACGGACATAGCTCCAAGAACAATCTCGCCAACACAAATTTCTACCTCCACTCGCAATCCCCAATTGCCACAGCGTATTCTTCCTGCCATTCGATCTTTGGATCTGCATACATCACGTGCCTGTAAACCATCTGAGCCAAAACCAAAGAAACAAAAAAAACTTAAATCATGCATTCGATGCTTAAACCTTTCTAGTCACAATTGTAGTCTAACTGCTTGTAAAGGCCGTCAAAATCCTTCACATTGCCATGTATTGCTAAACAATCAACCTTAATATTTTCAGATTTTATAAGTTAATAAAAATATCTTTTCTTTACAGTTACTAAAAAAATCTCCGATCGGCCGGAGGCCTTTCGATATATAATTTAGTTTAGGTATGATATGGTGGCCGATTTTGCACTGTCATTGGTAGGATTCAAACCTGATTTACTTCTACCAGCATTACTGACATTTGCTCCAGTTTCAATTTCCAGACGTTCCATAATCTCATCATACATGGGAGTTTCAGTTTTTTTTTGTTTCTTGTTCTTTTTTTTCTTCTTATCTTTGTTATCCTCCTCACTCTTCATTGGCAACGTCATCAATCGATCGCTTAATACGAATACTTGCAATAAACGTTTCTTTATTGAAGGGCTTATCTTGAATAGTTCTAGTGTCAGACGCCCAAGAGTCGCTCGTAAACCTATCAGAAAGATGTGGCTCCAATTCGAACTACTTGGGATGATTTTCCAATAGTGTTTCTACAAATATCTATAGGTGAGCATGGTATAAAGGACACTATATTACATCGCTTACTCTTGAATTCTTTGGACATGCTTACACGTGGGACATTTCCTTTACCTACTACACCGGTTTGGTAGAAGAGTTTTGTCGATTCTTCATAAGACGCCGATATATTCATAATTTGGTGCAAATAGTTTTCTTCTTTCGTTTGACGCCATGCCTGGCAAACTGGTTCGCACATTGTTGAGACATCCATGTTCGTGATTGTCCCTGGGTTGTTTTTTCCCGTTATTGCATCGGGAATACCACTCCATATATCAAGGTACTTGCCATTGTTATCCAACAAGAAATTTTTCACGCGGTCCATTGCCGGTTTATTGTCATTACCTTCCCCAACAAACCATGACCGTTTTTTCTATGTTGATTATCAGACTGATTACATGTGAAGTATTCCGCTTGTTGCTTAATTCGATATTTCTGAGTAACTTCTCCCTCTTTTTAACCTTATCATTTCGGATGTTAGGAGCGGTTATGTGGTGATCCACCTACTTTTGGTACTAATTACACCATAAATCATCACTAAATCAAATCTCATTTCATTATCCCATACGTTATTACATCACAACACGAACCAATTTCATATACATTATATCATATCCAACTACAAGCACTATTTTAGTGCTGTGTAACTTATCCATCAAACTAAATTCATAATCTGATTTCACTTAGCATATATCAATATGCAAACTGATAGTTGGAATAGAAACCTCTTAATCTTTGAATCTACTTTTACTCTTAATAAAATTTGTAAGCAGTCTCAAAGTATTTTATTGTTTTTATTTATCTATCTCTATACTCAACTATGAAAGGTTAGAGATGGGTGACTATGAATATTGTTTGTCAAAAGCTTCGTATTATCCATGGTTAAAAATTTGAATCCTTTATTTTTTAATTTTTTTTAAAAAAAGCGATGAATAAGCAAAATATGTGGATGAAATATGAGATATTGTATCATGGAACACAAAATGTTTACGTTAATTTAGATTATTTTCTGTTTTTGCAAAAACTTGCAAAAAATCATTGAAAAATCATTCCCAGAAATATTCTTGAAGAATTTAAGATTTCTGATTATGAAGCCTCTATCGTTGTACATTCCATTATTTTTTCGGAATTCAGTACTCGTAAGATGTTTTCCAGTCGAAAGTGCTCGCATAAACGCAGTCGACATGGCAAGTATATTGATTTTGACTTTTTTACTGTTGCATTAAAAAACATTTTTTGATTCGTTACTTGTTCTTCTTTAACCCGCACGGCATTAGAGTTCGGTCATCGTTCTGTCATCCCTCGTACGTTATGACGTCAAAAAAATCAGAAGTCGAATATTCACGGTATATACCTCTACGTTAACGAAGAAAATTCATCTCTACAAAGCTATTGTGGCACGCACGATTCAAGTCATGATCTCTGAGGAAATAGAGAAAAAAGCTGAAAAGTGTGTTTTGCGTTCCAATTCGATTTTACCTATGAAAGACCGTGAGTTACGTTCGGGATCGGCCTTGTTTGTGGCGTCATTCTAAGTTTCAGGTTGACTCTTAGAGTCGCTATTACTGTTACTGATTCTTGGGGCTCTGGCCATGTTAATTCGTCATGATTGTTTTATACCTTTTGGGATTAGGTGATTACACTGTGTTAAATCTGGCTCTGCCACTGCGTCGAAGAATACATCCACTGAAACAAATTAATTTGTCTTGACCAATGTTAGACATTAGTTATTGCTTCTGAAAAAAGTGGCTGAACAAAGTCAAAACTTCTTTATTTTCAATTTATAGTTGTGACACCCAATTTTCAGAAACGGTCAGTCGATTTTTTTCACTCAATGTGTATTATTCCCATACATGTCTGCTGCTTCGACGTGGGCATCGTTTGGCCGTGCAAAAAAAAGATCAGCCGGAACTACTAAACTTAATATATACTGCAAAGTCATAATAATCATTATAATATTAATACATGTCAGCTGCTTTGAATTGCGCATTGTTTGGCCGCGCAAAAAAAAAACAGCCCGAAGTATTAAATTTGGTATATACTGCAAAGCCAAAACAATCATTATAATATTATTGATACAGAGTTATATATATGATATTTGAGTTTTCTAGTTATTTTAGTCTGAATGTTATGGTGAAGAATTCTTATTTATGCAATCCCATTCCACGATATTAGTACTAATGATTGTGGTAATATTATAACTCTGATGAAAAAACCGATGACATCAGCGTTTTGCGACAGAAACATTGATATAGCGCTAGTACGGATTTACATTTAAAAAGGGACAATTATTATTATATAACAATTGTGATAGTGAGCACCAGACTTTTAGTTGTCAACTTAGTTCTATTATTTATTAAAAGTCTTTCTGTAGTGATCTTAGACGATAAAATATATGGATAAGACAATAAAATGAAAATCGATAATGATACAGTGAGAGATGAGAAGAGAATATAGTTCTTAGATGTCAAAGAGAAAAGAGTTTACGACGGGCTTATGTAAGAAGATGATGTGATTGTATAATTTACAATAGACAACAAACAGCAACAAAAAGCGGAGGAAATACTACTAGTATCAACTACAAGATAAATCCCAAATTTAGGTGAAGACAAAACTAAAGAATAATTATTAAAAAATGAAAAAAAGCAAGCGTATTTATAGGAAAGATCCTATCCTGTGTAACAACAAGCCACATTATTATTGGCTGCAACAACATTAAAAGGTCACGTCGTTGACATACTTTTGCCAGGCCATGCATGTACCTTTTCGCTGTCCAAAACAAGTTTGACGATGTTCTGTCGTGAAGTCCGAGCTCCTGTAAATCTGTAACCGACGTCGATAATCTCCGTACCGCTTAAGAACACTTAAACTATTCAACGAATGTTTCTAGATCATTTTAATTTATTTTGGGACTCCGTAAACGTTATTAGATTATCCCAAACTATAGGATCGTATCGGATAACGGACCAGAATAGCAAAAGCTATCGGATCTTGACGGATAACGGACCAGAGTTCCTAAAAGTATAGGATCTTGGCGGATAACGGACCAGAGTTCCCAAAAGTATCGGATCTTGACGGACAACGGACCAGAATTCTCTAAAGTATAGGATCTTGAAGGATAATGTACCAGAGTTTCCCAAACAACTTCATTTCAAATATTCCACGAATTGGCGCTAAGCTTTTAAAATAAAAAAAAATGTCTTTATTTTGTGTTTTTGTTAGGATCTAGGTTCAGGTAGCTCCTAACCACCAAATAATAGGGGGTCCCAAACATTAAAAATAAAAATTCAGGAACGGACGATTAATTTTGGTCAAGAAAAACGACGGACGATAATTATCGTCCGGGAATTTTACGTCATAAATTATGACGAAATTGCCATAAAAAGTAATAAATAGTTTATTTTTCTTTATTTTACGTCATAAAAATGACATGCATATGTCACCACTCATCTAATTATCATATATAAACCTCGTTTATCCCACATTTGACTTACCTTCTTTCTCTGAAATTATTTCGTGAATTATATCAACTAAAATGCCCGGTCAACGTAAGCAAACTACTGCTAGAACATCCAAGAAAACATCTTCCAAAACAGCTTCTGTTGATGATAGCCAACGTGGATCCAACACTAGTCCTGCTCATGCCAAAGCGATGATTGGTTACTTCGAGGAAAACATCAAGCTTTTTAAAGCATACATCGGCGTACATGATAACGCTGCCCCTGGAGCTGCTACCACAGTCAAAAAGCGTGAAATCATTAAGGGTATGATGAGAAAACTGTTGGCTGACAAGGCTATACCCACCGATTGGACGCTGGATCAGCTTATGAAACGTGTTGCCCGTCTTTTCACCAAGTACCGTCAAATAGAGAGAAAGTTGAATGGCACTGCTTTTGGTTTGACACAAAAGGATATTCGTGGAGGGATCACCAGTATCGAACAAAAGTGTGATTTCGAATGTCCTGGATTTGAACGATTGTCGACTTTGCATGGTGATAGGCCTAATACCCAACCTGTTTGCGTAGCTTTCCATGGTGCTCCTGGCGGTACTGAGTATACGTTCTCTAGTAGAAAAGAGCCCACCATTACGGCAATTGATGAACAAACCCGTGCTGTTTTTGGTGAGGGCGAAGAGCTTGAACCAGCTCAGCCAATTCGATCTGCTTCTGAGGAGCCTTCAGCTCGTACTCGTGATCCTTCTGTTGGCCCTTCGTTTCCTGGACCATCCATGATTCCTCGCTCTTTGTCTGTCGAGCCTGCAGGTGCCAATGATACGTCTTCTCTTCCTGTGGTTTCTGAAGATCGTCCTAGACCTCGTCGTAGTTCGATGTCATTAGACAGAGAAGTAGCTGAAATCCTTGGCACGAATGCCTTCAGCGATGACGATGATGATGTGGACGCTGTTCGTGTCAATGCTGGTTCCCGGGGTGTTTGTGATAGCTCCAATGGTACTCGTGCTTCTGGTGGTCGTGCTGCTTCTGGTGGTCGTAGTTCTCGTGGTGCTCGTGGGAATGTTGGGTTGTCCAGACCTCGACCTGAAATGCCTTCAGTTGATCGTATTCGTGTAGATCCCGATCACGCCACCAGAAACAAGAGGGTGAAGAGGGATTTCTCTTCAGAATACCGTGAAGCCCAGTTGAGAAGGGATGAAGTGCTGAGAGAGAACAGCCAAAGGGAGTTCGAGTTGGGTATGACGGAGCTGTTGGTGACGAGTCTTCGAACTAATGCGTTCAGAACGACGTCCTTCACGGAAATTGCCCAACACATTGCGGCATTCCGGCAATCATTGAGGGAACCTCTTGAGAACGCTCGACGTAACGAAGAGGCGTATCGAGTAAGAAGCGATAGTGAAGGTGAACCCGCTTTTGACGGTAACGATGATGGATCTGATGATGGATCTGAAGTAGTTAGACGTTAGTTTTTTTTTTCTTTTGAATAAAACCTTTTTTTAAAACTAATATTTACCTTATTGTATCATTAATGACCTTCTACAATCCCTCATTCATTACAATAATAAATTTGCTAATAACTTCCAAACTATAATGCACTTTTCATCGATATAATCTGTTTATTTTTTATTTCGTCCGAAATGTACAGTGTAATCTTCCAATACTACATCCACAACCGAATCCCTCCATCTATTCAGTGTACGACCAGAAATACTTTTGATGTTGTCGAACGATTGAAGCAACAATACATCCTTTCTTGACTGACCTACATCTACGTCTTCAAAAAAATCGCCAGCAAAATTGTCGTTTTCAGTAATCAAGAAATTGTGCAAAAGAGCACAAACAGACACCATCTCGTCGATCTTCATCACGTCCTCGTTGCAATTTATCTGGATAGGAATGTTCTTCAAGATCCTCCATTTACCTTTCAGTACACCGATCGTGTTCTCGACGGCAACTCTGGCAGAAGAATGTACCTTGTTGAAATCTTCGCACTTCTTCGATTTCAGTACCTGAGGTCTCCTGAAAGGGGTAAGAACGAATGGATGAAGAGCATATCCGGAATCACCCAGAAGATACTCATGGCTTACACCATTACGACATG